CATCTCTGTCTCTCTCTTCCTCATCTCTGTCTCTCTTCCCCATCTCTGTCTCTCTTCCCCTCCTATTCTGTCTCTGTGTCTCTCTTCCCCACCTCACACTCATGGATTCACAACACACACTTGGTTTTTAGTTTGAAACTTCAGTGAAGCGTGTAGTACACAGCGCGTTCTCCATCCCGCTTAGCTGTCCCCAAATAATTGAGAACACGCCCCTCTGCCATTTCTGCCCTCCCTCCCCTCTCATGGGTCCTCCACAGGGAAGGCTGTCCTGAGGCCCGCCCACCATCCTGGGCCACAGGGGCTTCCCGGTTGGGGGCAGGGCCAGGTGGGCAGCCCTCCCAGCTTGTAGGCAGCATCCAGGCTACTGCACAGCAAAAGTTCCCTGCTGAGGCCGTGGCCTGGATGCACCTGCTGGAGGCTGCACGGGGCAGGTGAGATCCATGCCTGGGGCAAGCCAGGCAGGTGTGTGCAGGGCAGGTGTGTGCAGGGGAGGTGTGTGCAGGGCAGGCATGAGGCAGGCGGGGGGTACAGGGCAGGTGTGTGCAGGGCAGGTGTGTGCAGGGTAGGTGTGTGCAGGGGAGGTGTGTGCAGGGCAGGCGTGTGCAGGGCAGGCGTGAGGCAGGCAGGGGGTACAGGGCAGGTGTGTGCAGGGCAGGTGTGTACAGGGCAGATGTGTGCAGGGTAGGTGTGTGCAGGGGAGGTGTGTGCAGGGGAGGTGTGTGCAGGGCAGGCGTGAGGCAGGCAGGCGTGTGCAGGGGCGGTGTGTGCAGGGCAGGCGTGTGCGGGGCAGGTGTTAGGCAGGCAGGTGTATTCAGGGCAGGCGTATGAGGGGCAGGCATATGCAGGGGAGGTATGAGATGGGCAGATGTGTGCAGGGCAGGTGTATGTAGGGGAGGTGTGTGCAGGGCAGGTGTGTGCAGGGCAGGTGCATGTAGGGGAGGTGTGTGCAGGACAGGTGTGTGCAGGGCAGGTGCATGTAGGGGAGGTGTGTGCAGGACAGGTGTGTGCAGGGCAGGTGTATGTAGGAGAGGCGTGTGCAGGGCAGGTGTGTGCAGGACAGGTGTGTGCAGGGCAGGTGCATGTAGGGGAGGTGTGTGCAGGGTAGGTGCATGTAGGGGAGGTGTGTGCAGGACAGGTGTGTGCAGGGCAGGTGTATGTAGGAGAGGCGTGTGCAGGGCAGGTGTGTGCAGGGCAGGCGTGTGCAGGGGAGGCGTGTGTAGGGCAGGCGTGAGCAGGGGAGGCGAGTGTGCAGGGCAGGTGTGCGTAGAGATGTGTGCAGGGCCGGTGTGCGCAGGGGAGGAGCGTGCAGGGCTGGTGTGTGCAGGGGAGGCGTGTGCAGGGCAGGCGTGAGCAGGGCAGGCACGTGCAGGCTGCACCACTGCATCAGCTACACGATCCTGGCCCACACTGGATCTGCCCTCAGATTCTGGAGCAGCCCCTCCTGGCCACACCCTGTACCAGGCCTGGGACCACCTGTGGGGAGTGGGGACAGGTGGCTGGGGAGGGCGTGCCTCGGCCCCAAGCCTCAGCAGCAGCCTCCCCACAGGCGTGGCCTCCATGATCGTGTCCTTCGTCGTGGGACTGTACTACAACACCATCATTGCCTGGGTCATGTGGTACTTCTTCAACTCCTTCCAGGAGCCTCTGCCCTGGAGCCAGTGCCCACTCAACGAGAACAAGACAGGTGCGTCGTTGCAGCAGTCCCAGCCACATCCGTCTCACCTGTGGGGCCGTCACCCCTCCCACGCAGGCACATGGCCTCATGAAACTCAGCTCAGGTGTGGCAGAAACCAGAGCCCCAAAGCAACAGGGTGTCAAAAAATTGCAGCTCAAGACAAAAGGCTTTAAAAGTGGTGGCTCTTGTGTAGGAGGTGTGGCGGAGGACGAGGCCCTGGGGAGGAAAGTGTGGGAGCCTGGGGGGTGCTGTCCCCACTCTCAGGGCCTCCAGTCACCTGCCCGGAGCTCGGGGTTGCTGGGAGGTTGCTCCGTATCCTCCTAGGAGGGACGTGGTGTCGGATCGCCACCTCCTGCCCCCGCATCCCTGCATTGCTCTGCACAGATGGGTCTGTCCTGCCCACGTGGGCCCCACATTGCCCTCCCAGCTCAGCCCTTGCAGAACCCTCTCTCCCAGGGAGGGAGTGTCGGGGGCAGACCACTGTGTGTGACATGAACTCGGCTCACCGTGGTCCACATGGTGGCCCTGGGACCTGAGTGTCTCGGTCACCAGCAGCTTCTGGGCCGAGCAGCACAGCGGGGCTTCACTGCACACCACTGCTGAGTCGAGGCTGGCAAGACGGTCCCTGGGGCCGGAATAATACAGATGCCCCCACAATACGTGAACCCTCACTGCACTCTGGGACTGCCCGGGTCCCTTTCCTGCCTCTGGGGATGTGGGTTCTCTGGAATTAGACCACTTCCCCCTTAGAAGGGCCTCCCTGCGGTTCCTCGAGTCCAGACAGGCCCACCGTGGTGAGTAGGGAGCGGGTGGTTGCAAGCGGGGGCCCTGCCCAAGAGCACACGGGCTCTGAGGCCCCCATGTCCCTGCCGGGGCTCGCACGGGGAGGAGGGAGCAGCGTGAGGCCCAGGGTGCACCTGACTATTGGGACTGAAGCCTTCCAACCAGTGCACATGTGTAGGCATGTGTAGGGCGTGCCGGTGTGCATGTGTGTGCTGTGTGCATGACAGCATGTATGTGATGACATGTATGTAAGGACCTGTATGTAAGGGTGCAGTTGTGCATGTGTGTGTGTGAGTGCATGTGTGTGCATGTGAGCATTTGTGCCTGTGTGCATGTGTGTGCTGTGTGCTTGAGTGCATGTGTGCACACGTGAGCATGAGTATCTGTGCACGTGTATGTGGTGTGAGTGCATGTGTGCACATGTGTGCGTATGTGTGAGTGCATGTGTGTGCACGAGTGTGTGCCGGTGTACATGTGTGTGTATGTGAGTGCATGTGCATGCATGTGTCTGTGTATGTGTGTGCATGTGGGTGAGTGCATGTGCATGTATATGAGCATGTGAGCCTGTCATGTGTACATCTGTGAGTGCAGGCATGTGCACGTAAGCAGTGCCTGTGTACATGTGTGTGTGCATGTGCATGCACATGAGCATGTCTGTGTGTGCATGTGTGTGAGTGCATGTACATGAGCATGTGAGCCTGCGTACATGTGTTGCTGTGTGAGTGCATGTGTGTGCATGTAAGTGTGTGTGCCTGTGTGCATGTGCCGGTGTGGGCATGTCACTGATGTCAAGGTCTCTGGAGCGTGGCTGGCCTGTCCTCCGGCTCAGGGCCTGTGGTGTCCATTCTCCCCCCTTGGGGACCCACACCCTGACATGTGTGGATGGCCCTCTCCCCAGGGTACGTGGATGAGTGTGCCAGGAGCTCCCCTGTGGACTACTTCTGGTACCGAGAGACGCTCAACGTCTCCACGTCCATCAGCAACTCGGGCTCCATCCAGTGGTGGATGCTGCTGTGCCTCGCTTGCGCATGGAGCGTTCTGTACATGTGCACCATCCGTGGCATCGAGACCACCGGGAAGGTACCACGTGGGCCCGGCCAGGCTGCAAGTGCCCCGGAGGGTGGGTGCAGGCAGCCCTGCCTCTGCTGGCCACACCCCAGAACCCAGCTCTGGGGGTCTCAGGCTCTGTCTTTCCCCAGACACCAGCAACAGCGCTGCCTCTGCCCTGAGGCTTACCAGCCTGGGCGGGAGGGGCCCTGCCTGCCCTGGGTTTCCTGAAATGCCCAGACTTGGGGCCCCAGGAACTTGCTGCTGGCCCCCTTGACACTCAACATTATGCAGGAGTAATGCAAACTGCTGGAAAGAGTTAGACAATGATGATGGTGATGGTAAATCAGGAAGGCTGACATGGAAGAGTAAGGCTCCATCTTCCCTACATGGGAATCTTTGCTGGGACGTCCAGAGTGGCCAGCCCTCTCTCCCAGGGGACCAGCAGCCTGTGAGGCCCAGCCCCCCCTCCCCACCCGTCCCACATGCCCACCCGCCCTGCCCACCTGCAGGCTGTGTACGTCACCTCCACGCTGCCCTACGTCGTCCTGACCATCTTCCTCATCCGAGGCCTGACACTGAAGGGTGCCACCAACGGCATCGTCTTCCTCTTCACACCCAACGTGAGTCTCCGGGGCTGCCCTGGACTGAGACCCCGGGAGAGGCCTGCCAGCTGTCACCCACGGGGACAGGCAGCCCGCTGCCCAGCCAGTCCCAGGCCTGAGAAGGTCCACTGGGCCAGCAAGGGGCCGGCCTGTCCCTGGGGCCCGGGTCAGCTCCTGGTAGCATGGCTTTGCCCCTATGAGCTGACAGAGGCCCGGCGGGGAAGGAACTAGTTGCTGCCCCCGGGGGCTATGGCCTAGCCTGACCACCCCGATAGCCTCGGCCCTCCCCAGCCTCCCCAGGACCACATCTCCCAGGTCCCCGTGGCCCTGTCCAAGCTGCCAGTGGCTGAGGGTCTCTGTGTGGCACAGGTCACGGAGCTGGCCAACCCGGTCACCTGGCTGGACGCGGGCGCACAGGTCTTCTACTCCTTCTCCCTGGCCTTTGGGGGCCTCATCTCCTTCTCCAGCTACAACTCTGTGCAGTGAGTGTGGGCATGGCGGGCCTCGGTTTCCCTCTCAGTCCGGGGAGAACTTGCTGGGAGGATAAAAGACAAGGTGGAAAGCGCTCTGTGGCTGTGTGGCTGGGACCTCCGTGTCCCAGTGGGCCCTTGCCCACCCGCTCAGGGTCTGTGTGAGCTGAGTCTAGAGCACAGTGTGTGGAGGAGGGTCAGGAGCCGGGCGCCTGCGCCCTCCCCCACACCTATCCCTCCACTTGCCTGGTACGGGCCCTTCCTGTGCTCTCCCCAGACCCCTGCTCCACGCCCACATCGCTCCCAGCCCACCCCTCGGCATCCCAGGTCCCTCCACATCCCCCACCAAGTCCTTCCACTGCACCCTCCCCCGTACCTACTGCACTTCCCAATGCCCCCAGGAAGGGTGTGTACCCTGGAGTCCCCAGCAGCCTCTGGGAGGAGCACAGCTGGTGTCAGTTCATTTCCACTCACATTTATGTAGCGCCTACTGTGTGCCTGACCTGGTGCATCAGGACCCATCCTCAGTGACCTGAGCCCCTGCAGGTTGACAAGCAAGCACAGAAACCGCCCTGTGTGTGGTGACCAGAATCTCAGAGCAGAAGGGGTGGGGGGTGAAGGAGGACTCCTAGGGGTCAGGGTGCCCCTCTAGGCTGGGAAGGTGTGATTGGAGCCGGGGACAGAGGACGGCAGCGCAAGGGGGCGGGGTCTGGGTATGGAGGGCGGGGTTGGAGTAGGGAGGGTGGGGCCTGGGTATGGAGGGCGGGGCTGGGGTAGGGAGGGTGGGGCCTGGGTATGGAGGGCGGGGCCGGGGTAG